TCTTCAATATTTTTCAATGCCATGTTTCTTCGAACCTTCTTGGCAGCTATGCCATGTTCTAAGAAAGCTAGCGCTAAAGACAGCGACTGAAAGTTAAAAACAAAAATTTTAATAATTTAAATAAATATTTATAAATAAACAATGTAAATAAAAAACACCGATAAATTTGAAACAGTAAGCATATCAGGTTACCACCGAAGATGATGACCTCTGCTAATTAATGAAGTAATCAGTAAAAAAACGACCAATCTTTAATCAACTCTAATTTTGAGTCCAATTTATTCCAATTATTATTTACGATGCGAAGGTATACTTCAGGAAGAATTTCTAATAGCACATGTCTCTAACCCAATCGGACAAACTCCTCTGGGTTGGCTGCAAGCCGCTGCAAAGTTACAAGAGATTTTCAAGAGATCCAACTACCTGGCGTTTTGAGAATACTGTAAACTGAAGAGCGTAAAAGGTCGAACAGCTCCACAACAAGCATTCATTTTCAAAGGCAGAAGTTTGTTAGTTCGGCTACCTGAATATCTTGTAACTGTTCTCTATCGTCAACAATGCTGCTTACCATTTTATCTGTCTAAACACAATTTATATGTTTATTTTACTGCAGAGAATAACTTATTTGAACTTAGGACCGCTGCTCAAGATGCTGATCGAATTTTGAATAACTATAAATGTGGCAAATACATAGCACATATATAAATATGTACCACGAGTTGATCTTAAAACATTTAAGTAATTTTTTCAACAACTGTCGAACAAACAGTTCACAAAGCCTGTTGAGTGGCATCATCAAATGGATTGCATGGCACTGTTGCATCGTCCTTGTTCACAGATACCTAATGCTAAAAGAAACCACAGTTCGCTGCTAACTGAGCACCTGCAATACAGTGATATATCTCGCATTATTTTTATTGCCTAGAGTAATACCTTGTTCATCATCAACGACAACTCCAAAATACATACTCATCATATGTACCCCGCAAGATACTAGATATATCATGATACAAGAAATGTAAGATGATATTTAAGAGACGCAAAATACAAGATACATCATTTTTGACAAGCAAGGCAATGGTACGGTCAGTGAATTGTTACATGTCATTTTTGGCACTACAGGTACTAAATTTTCTTACAGCCATGGTCTCCTTAAATGACCTCAAGGTTTTGTAGTACAAAAATGAAACTCAATTTTGTGAAGCTCTGCATTCACATCCAACAAACGAACCCGTGCTGTTGACGTTCCTGAAATATAAATACAATGTACTTAAGTACTTACTATGTACAGCATTCTGTTCGCCCTGCACCAATCTAAGAACATTTGGCCAGTTTTCGAACCGTCTGATAAAAAACGGATTGGTCACGCCGAGAACTACGTTTGGCCTAAAGCAAAATGTCAATGAACGTCAACAGGAAAGTGCTGTTTTAATCAGCATATGATTCGCCATTACAATTTTTCAAGCTTGCTTGAAGTGTACTCTTTGAATTCGTTGTCCTGTATGGTAAAAAACGGTCGGTAATCGTAGCCGTACTTCAGAGGCCAAATCAAGCTGATGAGACTCTGTACGACGGATGAACAAACAGTTGGTGAAGAAGCCATGACGACAACTGGCTAATAAAGCGGTTTTGTCGGTAAATGCAAATAACAAGGAGTAGCGTTTTACCTCACCGAGAAAAATTAGTTCCCACAGCAGCTGAATTTCAGGCAGCCAGGGAAGCAATGCCCTGCAAATACAGTGTCAGAAACATTAAAGACAATTACTACAATAAGTGAAACATGGGAGGTGATATATAAGAAATCATGTACAGCAAATATAATCATTGTCATAACAGTTACAGTTTCAACAAAGATGACGATAAG